CCCCATATGAAGAAACTTACAGTATTTATCCATATCGCCCAACCTATATCGCTTTAATTGGACTGCCTTCAGTAGCCCTTTTGCTGAAGTTTTGCCAGACGATGAAAGATCCGTTCCTCTGGACGGCGCAACTGGAGGAGACAGTAGGCTGAATGGCAACGCATAGGGTGCTGAAGCTTCCTTCAAAATTGACAGGAGGTATGTCGGTTCGAGTCTTGAAATGCTTTGCTGTTCCTAGGTAGAAGAGGCTAATATGAATGAATTTGAAATGTGTGCACTTAAATCCTTTGCAAATTATGGCATTGAAAGTGCATTAAATATGTTAAATATAAAATTAACAATAACGCAATAAACAATAGGCACAGGCACCTTAAGCTGAAAGGTTCATGTCACCGATGCTAACATGCTTACAATTGGCTGATGTCAGTATATGTGAACCTGTACCATTGTAACCCATCTTCATCTTATGTTTTAGATGCTAACATTTTTCAACTAGCCTCCAGAAACCCAACGCACCAGTTGGAGGCTGATGTGGAATGGTGCAGATTTAGTGTGTTGCCGAGGGTGTTTACGGATCCCTGGTCTACCTAAACGTAAGTACGTGGTGTGCTTGAAGCTCAAGAGGGCTCGGTATAGATTGACCCACCACAAACCTCATGTCCCTCCACTGCAGACCCCCAGGTACCTATGCGTAAAAAGACAGATTACACACAATAAAGGCCCGGCTAGGTCTCTAATGGGCTTCATATATTTATATATGCCAGAATACATAAATGTGTGTTACAGAAGTGAGTCTACTTAAAGACCAGGGTAACTGACTTCTGCAAGACCTGATCTCTGTGCTTGACTTGGGCCCCCAGTGCTGTAACCCTTACACATAATTTTATTTTTATAAAGGGAATTTTAACATCTCAGTAAGATGAACAGGCCGCAAACTGTAGAAATATGCTCATTCAATAATGGGCATCTTCTGCGCAATCTGAATAGGTTCTGGACTGGAGGTTGTTTAAAAAAAAAGCCTAGTGCTGCTCTGATCATGGGGGCTGTAGTTTTGTGGAATCTTAATTATTACTGAATTGGTGATGATTTTATTGACCGGTCTCGCGAAATATATATAGAGTTATAGTAGGTGTTGGAGGCGATGCATGGCGAGATGTGATAACAGAAGCGGGTGAATAGTGGAGGTCGTGTGTTATGCTCGTCCAAGTCGACTTGCAAGATAAATAATAAGGCGACTGTATAGGTCGGCAGATTGTAGTTCTAGGTTCGCTTTGCCATAGGGTTGCGTTGATATCTGATTTCTAGCAGGGCAGAATACAAGAACATTCAGGTGCACAGGTTGTCAAGTGTTCTGAAATTATAGAAAGAATGTCTGGTGCCCTCCCTAATGTAATTTCTCTTTCAGGTTGTGGGAGTAACTAAGATTTCCCCTAGTTCACTACCTCGGGTTGTACCTTATATCGCGAGTGCAACAATTTACACTAGTGTGTGTAGAAGCTCAGCTAGTCGTGATCCATCGGCCCAGGTGAGTTACCAATAAGATGACCCACAAATAAAAATCATATTTGTGGAAGATGTCACCCACCACGACATAAAGCTGTATGGACAACAGATGGTTTTAAACAGTCCTGTGCATATCCCCTGGGCGAGCCACCCACCAGCCATACCTATCATTGGGAGTCTGTAACCATGGTAAAAACAACTGTTCACCGAGGATAGTAGCTCCTTAAAACTCATTAATCTCACCGCATTATATGTTGTCAGTCCCAATCGAAGTGGAAAAGGGGTATGACAAAAACACAGTTTTTCTTTATTTAAAGTCTTTAAAATGTTAAATAGGACAAATAGATTATTCATACAGTTTAGATTGTATTGTGATTGTATCTGTCTTGATGTAATAAAGATGGATGAATGAAGCAGAGAGTAGATTCAGTTTGAAGACAATGCTGATATTGGTCAAGACTATATGAGTAATCATCCAAACTCAAGCAGCTGTCCACAGACTTATCCCATGTTTGGCTTAAATACTGTTACTATACTACTTTCTAGAGCTTGGCT